TAAGCTCTCTCTCCCTCTTCAACAGATAAATATAATACAATCAGTGTGGACGTAGCCCAAACCTTGGGGTGAACCACGATACATCTTGTGTTATTTACATTTATTGCAGATTCACAGTCGGATTTACGTTGTACCAAGACCATCCGGTTTTGTGCATCAACAAATCATATATATATATAAACCTTCATCTTCCCCAGATTCGGAGGAAGAAGAAGAAGAAGGAAGAAGGAGAAGAAGGGGAAGGAAGAAGGAGAAGGAGGAAGAAGAAAAAAAAAAGTTGCAGTCGGAAGAAGAAGGGGAAGGAAGAAGGAGAAGGAGGAGAAGGAAGAAGAAGGAAGAAGGAGAAGAAGGAGGAAGAAAAAAAAATTGCAGTCGGAAGAAGAAGAAAAGAAAAAAAAAACCGATTCCACAACCCAGATTTGGAGGAAGAAGAAAAAGAAGGAGGAAGGAGATAAAATAAAAAACCTTCATCTTCCCCAAATTCAGAGGAAGAAGAAGAAGAAGAGGAAGAAGGAGAAGTAGGGGAAGGAAGAAGGAGGAGGAAGAAAAAAAAACAAGGGAACCCAGTTCGTCTTGCAGATTCGGAGGAAGAAGTAAAAGAAGAAAAAAAAAAAAAGGGAACCCAGTTTGTTTGTCCCCCCGCCCCCCCCCCCCCCCAAACCCAACCCCCTGCAACCCAGAAGAAGAAGAAAAAAAAAACCGAACCCCAGAAGAAGAAGAAGGAAAAAATAAAATAAATAAATGTGGACGACACGTGGCACCCAGTCATTGTCCACATGGACGCCACGTCACAATTAACGGCAGATTTAACAGTTTGACTAACGGATGTATAAGACTGTCCCAAAATTTACACTTTAGGTATGACTCTAAGACGAAAAAAACTTGATGTACTAAATGTTGAAAACCACGAAACATAAGGGTAGTAAACAGTCTTTTACCCTAATAATAATGGACAAGGATTGTCTACCCTCCCACTTCCGTTGCCCTTCCGTACCCTCCTGTTTGTGTGATTACAGTTAAACCACGTCAACATTTTATATTATTGTTTATTTTTGTCTTATTATCTCTATAAAAAAAACAATATAAAATGTTGACGTGGCTTAACTGTAACCACATAAAACAGGAGGGCACACGAGAAGGGCAGACAATCCTTGTCCAATAATAATGACGGGAGAGGGAAAGAGCCAAAAGCCGCAAAGCAAAACGGCACTTACTTAAGTTGATGTGGAAACCTGAGAGCCGTTCGATTGTGTGAATGGCTAAAATTTGCTTACAAGTGCAGAGCTCTCAATCACTGGATTGTTAAAATTGTACCCCTCCCTCCCTCCGTCCCTCCCTTATCCGAGCTCGTCTCTGCTTTAGTTTTACCTCCAGACTAAACCGCCGCATGCTCAGCCTTGCCCTCTCCTCTCCTCTCTATCTTGTTCACTTCGTCTCCAAACTATCCAGTTATATCCAGGTGAGTCCCTTCACTGTAAAATTAATAGCTTCATCTTCTTAATCTCTGGATTATGTTATGTTTTTTCTTGTAATCATCAATCAAAATCAATCCTGTAAGTAATATTATACTAGAGAGCTCAACAAATGATGGAACTTAAGCTGTTTCTTTCTTCCACTAAGTCCCCTTCTTTGCCCTTGTTTCTCTCCTCCTCCTCTTGCACCAAACCTCCTTTTCTTCTTAAACCCAAGCAGTCTCTCAAAACCCCCCATTTCTCGCTCTCCCAAAAATCCCATTTCTGGGGCAATAGTTTAGTTTTACACGAGAGAGATGCTGCTTGGGGTAACCTCGCCAAAACCACCCATGTCCCATTTGGCCCAATATGTGCTGCTGCTGCTGTCAAGAGAAGGAAGGAGCTTCCCTTTGACAACGTCATTCAAAAGGATAAGAAGCTGAAGCTGGTTCTCAAGATACGCAAGATTTTAGTCAGCCAACCTGATAGGGTTATGTCGCTTAGAGAGTTAGGTAGGTACAGGAGAGAATTGGGTCTGCAGAAAAAGCGCCGTTTCATTGCCCTTTTAAAGAAATTCCCGGCCGTGTTTGAGATTGTTGAAGAAGGGGTTTATTCCTTGCAATTTAAACTGACTCCCGAAGCCGAAAGGCTTTATTTTGAGGAGTTGAAGGTTAGGAATGAGATGGAAGACTTGCTGGTGGTCAAGTTGAGGAAATTGTTGATGATGTCGTTGGATAAGAGGATTCTGTTGGAGAAGATTGCCCATTTGAGAAATGATTTAGGGCTTCCCCAGGAGTTTCGTGACACTATTTGTCACCGGTACCCGCAGTTCTTTAAAGTAGTTGCAACTGCGAGAGGTCCGGCATTAGAATTAACTCATTGGGACCCTGAACTTGCAGTCTCAGCAGCTGAGTTGTCTGAAGAGGAAAACCGGGTTAGAGAGATTGAAGAGAAGGATCTGATTATAGATAGGCCTATCAAGTTCAATAGACTAAAGCTGCCAAAGGGCCTCAATCTTTCAAAGGGTGAGATGAGGAGGATATGCCTGTTTAGAGACATACCTTATATATCCCCTTACTCTGATTTCTCGGGACTGAGATCAGGTACTATTGAGAAAGAGAAGCATGCTTGTGCGGTTGTTCATGAGATTTTGAGTCTTACTGTGGAGAAGAGAACTCTTGTGGATCACCTTACTCATTTTCGAGAAGAGTTTAAGTTCTCTCAACAGGTGAGAGGTATGCTGATAAGGCACCCTGATTTGTTTTACGTGTCCTTGAAAGGAGATAGAGATTCAGTTTTCCTTAGGGAAGCATATCGTGATTCTCAATTGATAGACAAGGATCGTTTGTTGATCATAAAGGAGAAGCTTCGATCTATTATTTCTGTTCCTAGGTTTCCTAGACAGGGTGCTCCCAGAACTGAGGCAGATGGTGCAGAAGGAAGTGATGAGGCAAACGATGGAACTCTTGAGGAAGGAGAGGAGTGGTCTGGGGATGATGATGAGTTCAATGATGACGAAGATGATGATGAAGATGATTGGAGTGATGAAGATGATGATACACCCCCAGATTTTGACGAAGATGGGAAAACACCGACTATTGGAGTGAGCAAACCAGTCAAACAGGAGGGCAGTTCGAGAGAGAATAATGGAAAAGTGCTTGTTCCAGTGTTGCCAGATGGTCAACCAAGGGAGCGCTGGTAAATTAATGAATCTGTGGACTCCGGTCTCAAATATATCCTGATAGGGTTCGTTATTTGTTTTTGGCCTGAAATACTATATATGTTTGATCCTGCTCAAAGGAGAACTCAAGGCCTCTACCATTTTCCTCTTACTCGAGGTTCAGAGAAGTTTTCTGTGGGAGACAAAGGCATCAACTTCAAGTGTTATATTCCTCTACTGCCTTCTGTAACAGAATCATATTATTTTTGTACTCTTTGGTTAAGATAAATGAATATTTTGTGGGAATGAAAAGTATCAGCCTGTTTCATATGAATTTTCATGCATCTTAGTAACCTGGGTGATGCTGATCTGTTTAGCCGTTTTCCAGATCTTCAGCATACCGTCGTTAATGCAGTTCCTTACTTAAGGATTCAGAAACTACGAATCTACCTGGTAAGGATCAAAAGGAACATCTGGTGAGAAACAGTTGCTTTTTTTTTTATAACCCCGATGACAATGATAACAAGTATAACAACCATGCTAAAGAACGATTGATCGTAAACAGGGAGGGAGACCTGAATTTGGTAAGTTGTGAATAATTTTGCATCTGCCTTTATCTGTAAGTTGTCCTCATTTTTGGGCAGCTGCTTCTGCAAATATGCCACTGATGAGACTATTACACACTGATTAAAAGTGTGCCTAACTGCATATATAAGCACATGCAGTATTGTTTTTATAGGACTCATCAACTTGCTGAAGAGTCTTCTTGTATTTTTTATTACATGCCTCATACGGTACCACTCCCAGGTCTAGTTTTGCTCAGACTATAGTTCTTCTGTACTTGTGAAACATCATTATCATACACAAAATCTCTCTCTCGTAAAGAGTGAAATTTGATAAACGATAGATGCATGCGGGTGTGGTCGACTGCTTGTAGCATTTCACTATAACAAATAGAGAGGCCACACTTGGCCTCAAATTAATTTCGTGATTCTTGTGTAATCATGATTCATGTGTTAGATTTCTGTGCACCACTTTCACTTTTACTTTTGTCAAATTAATTTTTACCATCCTTTTTCTTGATTTGTTTTTATCACGAACGAGACCGATGCCGATGCCGAAAGTCCCAGGGAGGAAGGGAACATGAATATCTTTCTTTCTTAATTCTTACAGACCTAAACAAGCATTGACGAATTAAAAAACAAGGGAAAAGGGAAAAAGTGCATTTTCATGCTCGCCACCACCCCAACCCATGCCATCATAATAACAAGAAGGTATCGTTGCATCAATTTAGTTTATTTCTTCTTTTGTATATAAAAAAAATATACAAATACATATATTACGAATTACCTGAGTTACAGCAACTTTATAATTTACTACATCAATTAATAATTTATTATTTTTTTAAACACAATGTTTGTTAAATTAATATTTTAAAAATATAATATAATACGTTGAATAGTGTTTTGCCAACTCCTTGATCTCAACTAGAAGAAGTGCTTCAGTACAATAGGAATGTCATTGCAAGGGTATTTCAAACCAATCAAACATTGCTAAGTGAAAGTTATAGTTCACGACAATGCAAGATAATTTAAGATACCGTCACAACGATATCTCAAAATAAGTTTGTCTTCTCAAGTATGCACACGCTGCAAAGGTGCCTAAAGCTAATGACAATAACAACTATAGTGTGATGATAAACCTGCACCTTGGAGGCGCCTAATGTTTAAAGGGGAGTGGCATACCCATCGAAGACTATGGCTGATGGTCCCCCTTCTCTAATCCTCCTAGCACCCATAGACTAAACAAATAATTATTCAAGTTTCTGGAATGGCGCCTGCCTCGTCATCAACCCAAAGAAAGAAATAAAGACAAAAATTTTCCAAGTGTGGGTGTGAGTAAGTAGATACTAGATAGAAGTAGAAGAGAGTAGGTGGACCAAAGCAAAAGTTATTACAACTCACAAGTCACAAGTACCAACTAAAACTAATAGACAAAATACAATACCAAAAAGGAGAAGGAACTCTATCTGCAAAGCCAGGCCGCCCGGGAAGTCCAAAGGAACATCTTAACTTCTACTTCCTAACATTGCACTTCTACAGGATGCATTGCAGAATCACCGTTAACTGAACTATTTGTAAGCATATTTTGACACAAAATTAGCCACCTCAGCCGCAACATCATAAGCACCCTCAACACATCGACCCAAGGCTACACCAGTGACATAGTTGCCGCCAAGAAACAACCCTTGGGTCCCAGTATCACTTAGACCGGCTTTTGCAGCATCAAGGACATCAAAATGACCAACCAAGAACTGTGGAATAGCTTGTGGCCATACTTTCACACCCAATACAAGCGGCTCCTTAGCATTATGGTTTAGGAGGACTTTTCTCAGATCTTGATCAACTGCTTCAACAAGCTTGCTCTCCGTCTGTCCGTGTTTTATTTTTTAGGAAAGAGTTAAAAGAAAGAAGAAAAAATCAAAGGCTTGGGAGCAAAAAAATGAGAATGTAAATTACATACCATGTGCGCTGTTCAAATAACGAGAATGTGATTTTAAATGTATATGCAAGTGCACATGGACACAAAGACAGACCAGAAGCAGCAATGGCACAATACCTTGGAAAACAAAGCCTGCTACCAAAGGACAAAACCCAAGTTTCTGCACACATGGCTGACTGGGACTTGTATGAAGATACAAGATTCATGCATGATTGCTTGACTAATCAAGTATATGAAATTATGGTAGGATTTAGGTTGACGCCCAAAATGAAAGGTTCACCGGATAGTTACTGAAGGTAATTACACAAAAGGAATCAGATATTGGATAAAGTGGGGTCTTCTTTTAGGGTGCCATATATAAACTGAAGTACATTTTACGACCTCCATGACAGTTTATGAGAACCATCAATCCACTTAAATGCATATATCACCTGCCTTACCATCACATTCATGGATCTTTCCCACCACAAAATCATATATCATATGGCAATCGTCTTACCTCTGACAAAATTCCAGGATTGGTGGCACCTCCAATATAGTTCAAGAGCAGAACCCTTCCAGGTGGTGCACGATTAGGAAAGAGTGATGAGCTGTATATAGTTCCTGCAAAACCCAAGAAAACCCATGGAAAAAATCAGCAAGAAGTGGTGATCGCTGATGTCAAGCATAGTTATAGGCATAGATAATGAATTCCTAAACCAAATCGAATCTACCTAAAGTTTTCAGCCCTTGGCTACGAGGATGCAATTGACCAAAGCCCTTCAGTTCACCATCTATCAAGCAATCAGTCCGAATTGCTTCTTTTGGATATGAAATAGAAACTGCTGCAACTGGTGGGTAATAAAATTTTGATAGTGCATCTGCAGCAGCAACCTGCAAAAAAGAAACAAGACGAGAAACCCGTTGATTTGTCTTGTAAATCACCACTATTAGAAAAAATCTTTGACCAACCACCAACTGTAAATGCCTCAAAATCAAGATTAAACTGTCAAACAAGTGGCAGTAAAGATAACAAACATGTAGGACAGAAGCATACAGATAGAGGTCGCAATAAACCACTTGCTACGTAGGATGGAACAGTCATCACAACACTTTTGCTCAGAACTGAAACCAATCCTTCTGGTGTTTCGTAGGTCAAAGTGTACCCTCTATCCAATTTACTGATACTTGAAAGCTTCCAAGTTAATTTTACTTTGTTGCCCAACCTGCCAACACGATAGAATACAGTACAACCATCATAGCTGTGAAATACAACACGTGTGTTCTCTCCTTGCTAACAAAAAAGGATGACCATCCAACTAGAGTAAGAGTATTTATCCTTTGTTGAAAGAATACCTTGTAGAAATTGCATCCGGCAACATACCAAGTCCCTTCCTAAAAGATCCAACTGTTTGGCCCTTTGGTTTCGGAAGACGCCTTTTGAAAAACTAAAATTAGGGCATTGATAATAAACTTTACAAGTTAAATCATAAAATAACTTCAAAGAAACAAATATATTATTACGGATCTCGAGGTGTCTTAGGGGCACGATTCCTCCCCTGGATTGCTTTAATGGCACCACCAATGATACTACCTCCATTTTGCTCTAGCTGCCAAACTTTTCCGAATGCTGCTTTCATACTCAGTTTTGAAGGATCACCCGCATAAACACCTGAATATGACAAAAGTTTCTAGGCAATTAAGAAATTACTATAACCAGCTGACCAAAAGCTACACCACTTTAAAAGCTTAACAAGCATATACAAATTAACTGAACAGCTTTTACAGGAAGGTTTATGTGGTTAGTTTGACAAGTATAATTCGCGTAGATAAGTGAGCATGGCTGAATAAATGAATATGGTTAAAATTCAGACCCGTGTAAAAATATGGCAGTTCAGTTAAAAGTGCCATTTAAAATTTGTGAAAGGTCACATTTCTGTGATGGACCATTTGATGTCACATGGTGCTTGCTTGCATAAATAACAAAAAGGAAGAAGTGCAATTCAACAGTGCAAACAATTCTTTTTCATTTCTGTTTGTGGTTAAAGTTTGAATGGGATATGCAACAATTAGGTAGGTTTGAGTCCGAACCCATCTTACGATCGCATTAGAAGGAAGAAGCAAATGAATATTGGAGTAACTAGAGAAATGCACGAGGAGAAGTTAATGATGTAGTCATAATTATTCAAAATTGGAGATGACCTGAACAAAAAGGCTCAATTAAGCGTTCAAAAACCTCATCGCCAAGATTACGACGAACAAACTCTTCAACCGATTCTTCGCGACCCTGTCACTTTTGTCAAAGATTATGTGAAATGAGCAGTACAGTTGAGGAATTGAGGAATAAGTGAGAACGGCAACATAATAAATGAAAAATAAAGTAAAAAGAAAGAGAACAAACTGGAGGAGGCGGAGAAGGGCGAATGCCAAGAGCACCAAAGGCAGCCCTGAGTTTGCCACCGATGCTCATCAAGTCAAAGAAAGGTATGTCAGCTGGGCTGGACGGCACGGGCCTCAACTTGCCATCCCACAACACGAACCTAGGTGCATTTGGATCCCCCAGAACCAGATCATCCTTCAAACCACAGTCCACCTACCAAACCCAAGAAATACCCAACACACAAATCAATACACATACATTATACATACAGTCATTACTCATACAATTAGACGAAGAAACCTGAATGCCCCCCACTAGCTAAACATATACTAGCAGTCTAATCTAAGTTCTAATTCACTAATTTGCAATTAATTAATTCAATGTAAGTGTTAAATGTAAATGTAAATGCATGAACGAGAACGGTGCCAGAGCAGAAAAGAGAAGTAGAGGAGCAATACCATCATGGTGAGCATGGGATCGGACGGCTGAAAACTATTGGGGCCTTCTTCCCAGAGATAGCCGTCCTTCTCGACGGTGATTATGTTGCCACCCACACGGTCCCTGGCCTCCGTGACTATGACATTCGGGACGGTGTCGCCGTGCTTGGTAGCCAGCGCCTGAGCGATGCAGAGCCCACTGATTCCACCGCCCACCACCACGCAGTCAACAGAAACCGACTGTGTACCCTCTCCATTGATCCCCGAAGGAGATATGGTCGACTCTTTGGCCACCGAGCATCGCAACTTTAGGGAGGGGGAGGTTCTGTTTGGTTTAGAGTCCACCACATAAATGGAGGGAGGTCGGTGACAGTGAGGTGCAGAGAAGAAGAGAGGCTGAGTGGCCGCGATCCTGGCGGTGCTCATGGTGATTGGCTGGCAGTGACCACCACCGGCGTCGACTGAGATAAACAGAGGGCACCCAACCACCGTTTTCTTATCTTTACAACTTGAGTGTCCGAATCTTATTTTTGGCTTCGATGTATTTTTACGAATTGACATTTTATATATTAGACCATCTCTAACTCTGGGCTAAAAGCCAAATTACCCCCCCAAACACTCTCCAACCCATGTTAAAATTTTAGGCTAAATGACAAATGCTATTTCTGGGCCAAATACCCCTCAGCTTTCCCCCGGGCTAAATGCAAAATGTTTATCGGAATTTAAATTTTTTTAGATTAAAATGTTCATAAAATTAATTTACAATAACTACATTTTTTTTATATTGATTTAAGAAAAAAATTTAGGCTAATTTCATTCTTTAATAATTCCGGGCTAAAATTTTAGGGTAGAAGGTTGGAGCAGAAAAGATGTTTCTGGGCTAAAAGCTAAATTTTCCGGGCTAAAAAATTTGGCTTTTAGCCCAAGGGTTGGAGATGCTCTTATGGGAGCTGTTATTCGCATTTTTTAAATTTCAATTCACACTTTTTTGTATATTTCTGATTTATTTATTTTAATTCATTTAATTTGATTTCCAATTTTACCCTTGGATTGTTTTTAATGTGCCTAAATTTGTTTGAAAACCTCATTAAGTATAATTTTAATGACTAAAATAAATTGGTGGGAATGCTTGGATTTTGTGCATATTTTTCTTTTCTTGAAGGCCTCATTAATCTTTCATTTGGAATTGATTTTGCTGACGAAAAAAATTGGAGGGATTTAACATCTTTATTTCTTCTTTTCAACAAAATAAAATTGTTGCTAAGGGCAACAAGTAATCCTTCTAAAATACGACATAATAGTTGTGGCTATCACAGTTCATATCTTGAATATCATAACAAGGAATAATCTCATGTTCTTTTTCTAGAATTTTAACCATATCAAAGCAAAGTTAAATAATTTTAAACATAGCATCCAAACATACATGTATCAGCAATTGTCTCTACATCTCAAACCAAGCATGAAGCCTGTTTTCATTTCCTTGGTAATCAAACTCTAATCTTCAATTGCCTCCACATCTCAATCAAGCACACAAATATGTATCAACAAAGTGTAAAACCTGTATATCATAATAAAATATACCAAAACAATTAGAAAATATATATAAATACATCCTATATATTCAAACTCACATTAAAATACTAATGATTAAAGGTGTAGTTTATTTGCATACTTTAGTTATTACACATACAAGAGAAATTTCAATTGAGGGAACACAAATTAATTTCAAGTCTCAACCAAGATGAACATGATTTAAAGAGTAATTATAAAAGGAGAAATTGTTGTTACACATACAAGAGAAATTTCAATTGAGGGAACACAAATTAATTTCAAGTCCCAATCAAGATGAACATGATTTAAAGAGTAATTATAAAAAGAGAACTTACAAGTATGTCTTTGTTCAAAATCTGCAATCATACCACAGAAATCATGCACCTCTCTTGTTGAGTTCGCAGGTCCGACGGTTATGGCCAACACTATTACAAATGCTACATTTTCAGGATTTCTCAACTATCTTAAACGACGAAGGCTCACGTTGCGTAGAGTTAGATTCCTTTCTCTTCTTCGACTTTGATGGACGACCTTTATGAGCTTGAATAATAGGCTCAAGAATTTAAGGAAGAGAAGCACAAAGAAACTAGGATAGTTGCCTTTTGTTACCTTCTTTTTCAGAAATGGGCATTTTTTTGTACTTCGATTTAAAATCTGCGAAAAGATCACTTATTTCATCTCTATCACCATCCAAGATAACATCACAAACATCACTAAACGATCTTGTATCAATCCTCCATTGCTCATGTACTTCCTTCAATTGCAATTCACTTCTCATTTCTCTAATCATATGTGCACAAGGAAGGCCCATTGTTTAAAAAAAATGGCTTTTACATTGAAATAAAACATCAGTGGATTTTGCTATTCCATATTGCTTATGTAACTCATCCAGTGCAAACATAGATACATGAGTAACAAGTTCTTTAAAGAAGGGAATTCGAAGTCTATGTGACACACGAATCTTCTCACTTAAGAGTCGAACTTTGATTTCTTGAAATTGATTTTAAATAGCAAGACAAATCTTTTCTTACACCTCACGAAGGCCTCCAGTTGAAACTTGAAGATACTTTTTTTAACATTGCATGTGCACCTTGTGCTCTTGAACTAACACGATTACCAAAGTGCATAACCTGCTCAGTCCATGCACTTACAAATTTTTCTTTGAAAGGTAGCCATGTAGCTGTAATATATTTAAGAATAGAATTATTGTACTTGTCCTTGTATTTTACTTCAAAACAATTCCAAGCTTTGTTGAATGATGATTCATCAAGATACTGTATTAAACTAGTCAAAGTGGATATGAAATTAACCCAATCATCTTCGTTTTCAAAATGAGATTTACAATTTGTAAGAATATTTTTCTCAATATGCCAGACACATAAAATATTTGTAGTTCTAGGGAAGACACTTTCTATAGCTTTCATCAACACCAATTCCCTATCTAATATAATCACTACTGGATGATTATCAATTCCCAGGAGTTTACTAAACATTGTCAGCGACCATACATAATCCTCTTCCTCCTCCTTTTGAATGAAGGCAAAACAAGAATAAAATGTGTTGAAACTTGAGACCCTAATGATATCCAACAATGGCATCTTGTACTTATTAGTCTTATAGGTGCAATCCATCACAAAAACATTTGAGTAGCTCTTAGTCAGTGCAATTGAAATGGGATGGGCAAAGAACAAATGGGTCAAATGACCATTCTGATCATACTCAATGTTATAAGTGAAACCACCTTGACCAAGTTCGTCCAACAAGGCTTGAACAACCATATGTCCTCCTAAACTTTGCTTCATAATCTGATACCTTTCATTATAGAAACTTTGAGAAATTGCTTGAAGATTAGGATTACTTTGACGAAGTGAAGAAGGAATCTAACAAGGTGGTATACCAGCCATAGTCATTTGTTTAATGCGAAAGATTTCGTCTTCTGAAAACCGACAACAATAGAGATGTCTAGACACGTCAGCTGAAGGATCATGGTTATGTGACAAATTTTTTATGTCCACCTTCCAAAATCCTTCTTGTTTCTTCTTTCCCCAAATTTCAAAAAGACAATTTATTAATTGAGATGTTGTTTTCCTTTTCTTGTTCTCTAACGAAAGATTGGTATTTCGATAATTACCACCTCTATTACAACCAATGATAACATATTTATCAACCTTCGATCTCCGAGTAACAATTGCATACCCTTGCTTTAATGCAATTTCATGAACAATACCAAGGAGGTCTTCCCGAGTTTTAAAGTTCTTTTCAGTCAAAGAGAGCATTGTGTCATGTTCACTGATCTCTACTTGACTATGTGAACCATTCATTTTAACACAATATACAGTAACTTACTAACAATGGAAGCTATCATACTAGTTAATAAAACAAAAGAAGTTGGTTGAATGAGAAGTCAATTGATAAGGGGGTAGAACTCATTGCATGAAAAGCAAATTAGGGTAAAAAAAACAAGCATTCAAAGGGTAGTGTGGAGCCAAAAATATTCACAAGGCGACACGTGAATTTTTGGACAAAAAGGACAAAAATACCCTTGCACTACAACGAGGTTCCTATGCGCAAGCAGCGGGCAACCCTCTTTCAATCAAGACAGAAGTGCCCAAAATAGGTAACAATTCAAAGTCCATCTCATCAAATCCTTTCTACAAGGTAATTCCCAAACACATTCCTTTTAAATTATATTAATTGGCTAATTAATGGGTTTATTACCTAATTAACCCATTAATTGTCAATTAAACCATCCATTATATCCAAATAACCACAAAATACATCCAACTCAACCCTAAAACACCACATGGCCGGCTATCCCCATTCAAAACCTAATCCATCACTTTTTCTACCTTTTTCACCATTTCTTCCTTTTTATTAGTCCAATTAATTCCATAACCACAAAAATATTTCCTTTTATGTTTAATTAGCCAATTAATTGGCTAATTAAACCAAAATAAAACCTAAACCAACCTAGCCCTATAAATAGGCTCATATTTTCACCAAATATTCATTCCAACACTTTGGCAAAAATCCCAAAATTCTCCAAACACTCTTTCTCTCTAAATTCTAACTTTGGCATCGGAGGTTCTTCGGTCAAAGCCCCCCTCCATTCATCATGGGCGCGTGAGGCTCTAGACCTTAACCTAAGGTGTTAATTGTTTTGTAGGTGCAAAATTGTCCAAGATCAAGGAGGAAGAAATTTGCATCAACAAATTGGTGCTTTCATTGAGAGTTGAAATCCATACTCGTAGAAGACTCTCGCACAAAAAGGTTTTTTCTTTATTTTCTAGTCCATTTGAATATTTTTCATACGTTCTTATTATTAGAATTTTTTACGTGCAAAGGTTCTTTGATAAAACGTATAAGCAAAATATAATGGCTAGAAATTTAGAAAATTCCACAAGTGAAAATTCTAATGTTCAAGAAATGGGATTGCGGAGATCCGTGAGGCTAAAAGCGACAATAAGTGGAGCAGCACCACCACCACGAGTTTCCACCATGGGAACCACCACGGTGGCTACTTCAGTAGCCACCCATAGAATTTTTTACGTGCAAAGGTTCTTTGATAAAACGTATAAGCAAAATATAATGGCTAGAAATTTAGAAAATTCCACAAGTGAAAATTCTAATGTTCAAGAAATGGGATTGCGAGGTCCATGATGCCTTCACCACGGCTCGAGTCGTGCCATCCAAGGCTCACGGCACCAAGGCCACGACCTCAGTCGTGCCATCTAAGTTTGCACGGGCCTGGGCCCAAGCCTCGCATTCGCATGCATCACATACTAAACAGCCTGCTCCCGCCAAGAAACTTGTTCCCGCCAAGCAACCTGCTCTCGTAGCCCAGCCTGCTGCTGCCAAGCAGCCTGCTCTCGTGATCCAGCCTGCTCCTGACGAGCAGCCCACTCCCGTGGTCCAGCCTGCTTCCGTCGAGCAGCCCATTCCCTTGGCCCAGCCTGCTTCCGTCGAGCAACCCACTCCTGTGGCCTAGCCTACTC